GACTCCAAACAGCCAGGTGCTCACCTCTCATGATTAAACCCATTTGGTCGGTTATTCATTTCCACCAGGAACTTAGCGCAGAATCTGCAACAGAGAGCATCAGCAATTACGGCACTAGTATTTCTTAGTGACTTCTGGAGTATTCGCAAACTATGCCATCCAAAATACCAGACTTTGACGCCGTGGAAGCTCGGATCACGATTTCACACGATGCCTTCGTCCGTATAGATCGCTTGTGTTCCTCGCAGAAACTGACAAATCCCCGCGTTCGTGTGGCTGCAGCCGCAAGCGCTCGCGTCGTTCGCAGCCGGCTATGTGGACTGTGCACTCGGGCTCCAGCTCCAGCTCCAGGGCTCCAGCATCGACGCGACGCCACACGCATTTATTAACGCGAGCACGGGTCGTGAGGAAGCGGACTGAACCAATCAGCGCCACGGGCGCTGCGGCACCGCCGGAGCCGGCGCCGCCCGCCGCTGTGCGGTGTCTGCGCCCGCGCGGCGCCCGCGCCGGCCGTCACTAGACTGCCGTCACGTCACCGTCCCGGGCCGTCACCAGACAGCGCCCAGAGCGGCGCCAGCCAGTCTGAAGCGCCAGCTGTCAGCCACGCTCAGTCATTCGACCCGCGGCGACACCTCGGCTCGAGATCTCCTCCAAACCACTGCTGGTGCCCGGCGCAGAGCTTCGGCGTCCGGCACAGCGTCCCCTGCCACCTCCCCAGCAGCAGCAGCAGGACGATACCCAGCGTCTGGCCGAGCGTCCCGCCGCTTTCCCCACAACAACAGCAGTGGACGCCATGACCTCTGCACCGCACGGTCCGCCACCCCACCGCGTATGCTGCGGCGGCACCGTTCGCACCGCGCCGCCGGTCAGCTGTCCATGCGCACTGCCGCCGGCCACCGCCGCCAGATGGCGAGGGGAAGCAGTACAGCCGGCGGCCGGCGTCACCTGACGCCTTTAAGAGGCGTGGCCACGACCGGCGCCACTCGCCACTGTCCGTGGTCACTCCCGCATGCGTCGATCTTTGACCCCAACGGCCAACAAGTCTGCATCTTATATTTTGATACGTCCGAGATTCAACTTCAAACTTTTGATCACAGCCTTCAGCCAATTATGCAACGAAGCTGAGTTAGGTCCAAGAAGATGTGAGGTCCGCAGTGACAGCTTTTGACTAAAAGTGGCAGCGGCTGCATGCATCTGACGGCGATCGACTGCCGAGCAGCTTGGCTGGGCGGTAAAAAGCTGAACATCTCGCCATGTGGCATACCCACGTGTCTGCGCCCCCGGACCACTCTTGTGTAAAATGCTAAACATCTTGCCATGTGGCATACCCATGTGTCTGCGCCCCCGAGCCACTCTTGTGTAAAATGCTAAACATCTCGCCATGTGGTATACCCATGTGTCTGCGCCCCCGAGCCACTCTTGTGTAAAATGCTAAACATCTTGCCATGTGGCATACCCATGTGTCCGCGCCCCCGAGCCACTCTTGTGTAAAATGCTAAACATCTCGCCATGTGGCACATCCATGTGTCTGCGCCCCCGGGCCACTCTTGTGCAAAATGCTGAACATCTCGCCATGTGGCATACCCACGTGTCTGCGCCCCCGAGCCACTCTTGTGTAAAATGCTAAACATCTTGCCATGTGGCATACCCATGTGTCTGCGCCCCCGAGCCACTCTTGTGTAAAATACTGAACATCTCGCCATGTGGTATACCCATGTGTCTGCGCCCCCGAGCCACTCTTGTGTAAAATGCTAAACATCTCGCCATGTGGCATACCCATGTGTCTGCGCCCCCGAGCCACTCTTGTGTGACCCGTCGATCAAAGACAGCTGACAGCTGGCCGACGATGTCAGGCTGGCATGTGACAGCCTTGTCATGTCACTATGCAAGACAGAGCAAACTTTCAGGAATCACGTCCCTTCAGCAGACATTATTCTGCCTGGGTGGCCACGCCTGGGTCTTGCACACATGGGTCAATAAGTCATGAATGACAGGAGCTGAGGGATCTCGGTACAGTTCTCTAAGCATGTTAGAGAGGGGTGTTCAATCCTGGCCAACGAATATGGGCAATGGGCAGGTGTACAAACTGATTCCGAATTCATGGTGGCAGAGTAGCTCGGTTGGGATAACACTCAACACCAAAGTCGGAGACCCAGGTTCGCCTCCTTGCTGATCTTTTCGCCTCTACGGGCGTTAACATGACCACAGCAGTCACCAGCTCTTCATAAAAGACACGAGTAAGCAACTGTTGGAAACTTTTCCGGCGCAAGTGGGCAGCGACTGTGTGCTCGCACACGTTGTGGTGCACCTGAACAATGGCGCCAAAAACCTTCAGTCCCTCGCGACATGTCGAGCTGGGGTGTTCGGAGCGTAGCTCTCGCACAACTGCGAATGAAACGTCGCCCATCCGGAGGCGGCATCTTAGAGAAAGACAAATGTACTGTGTCTGTTCCAGCAATGCACGCACAGAATGCTCTACGTGCGACACCTGTGGAAAACATCGATGCTCTCATAAGTATGAGCTGATCTTACGCATCAATGACAATTACTGTGGTCTAGCATGGCTGTGGTGTCTGGGCTTGCTCGTGATCTTAGAGAATGCCTGATGAGACAGTTTGTCTATTGGTGGAAATTCAATTTTCAAAACTTAAATCTTTATGTTCAAGCACATCCAGGTATTCCTTTATCTAAGAAAAGCCACTTGTTATCAGAGATACAGCATGACAATGTTGCAGCAGCTAACATGTGAACTGTCTGACCCCATGGGTTAGGGGCTGATAAATAAGTGGAGACAACAAAGAAGTGCAAAGCAGCACAATGTGCAGTTGTATGAAGATATATGCTAAGACAGCCTCTTAGGAAATTCTAGCCATATTTTTATGGAGCATTATGCACAATTAATTTTCTCTTGAATCATGCAGCTGCAATGATATAACCATGCACATCATTTCACATAACTGTGCAAGTATACTGATATACACAAACTGAGTTCTTGAGTGTAAATGTTATGCTGTATGTAGCATTTGTGTAAGCCTTAAGGTTACTCTTTTTAATACCCAGTTTGCCCAAAATTGCTGGAATTCATCACAAAACTTTGTGAGAAATAATCCTCAAGAGTAGGACCCTTCCTCCAGAACCACCTGTTGTACTTCAGTCTCAAATTTCAAAATGGCTCAGTTATTTTCCCTCAACCAAAATAGGTCTATCAATTTTGCAATGTCTCAGGCTTCCTCAATTGCCATATTTTAGATAGCTGTTGAGGTCCTAAAAATGGCAGATGAGGTCCAGCTGGGTCATGTTATTGCTTCTGATGTTAAAAGAAACAAGATATCAAAAGAAGCATGTGTGTTATTTACAAGGCATTGTCAAAATTTATCCTTTAGACCAGCCATCAATTCTGTAGTCATATCTGAGCCTGCCACACCCCAGTTTGCTGTCTTATGTAGATTTTAGCCTGGTGGAGATTTGCTGACCCAAATGAAACCATGCAGCAACACTTATTACTACACATTTTTAATTCCTTGAGTTCTGGTGGTGGTTATTTCTACCTTGTTTTTAGTCTTAAGACATCCACTATGCATCATTTACAGGGACACATCCAGGTCCTGAAAGCAACCACATAAAACACTAAATATACTGAGTGCATAAAAAAGCTTGCTGTATGCATAGGGAAGCTGTTCACAGCAATACTTGCATCTGAATTACTTAATCTAACTTCTCTGTAAAATCATGACAGGCTGACTGGGTATCATTGTAAAAGAAATAGCAATTTTCCTTTCATATTTCCAAGCCCTCTTCAGGCACAGCAAGTAGTAGCAAAGGATAACTCGGTCAGGTGATTAGTCTCTACCCTATACTTATCAAGCATTAGGCCTGCTTAGCATATTAAATCTAATACTCTAATTTGGGCTAATGCAATTTATGGTAGCTTCACTACCCACTTTCTTAGCCAGACCAGCAAGAATGGAGAATACTGAAATATATGTGAAGTAGCTCATTTCAGTACCTTTTAAATGCACATCTTTAGAGTTGCACTTATCAAAATTGAAGATGGCATGTGTGCAAAGAACACTGGAAAATTCCCACATTCCTAGTCCCTGTTTGGTACATCTGATGGTGTCCTTCTCCTGGTCCCCACAATGGGAAGACTTAAAGAGTTGCCTTCCTTGTGTGCAAAACTATGGCATTAATGATGCAACAAATGGAATCTGTATTAGACATTTGCTTCTTCCAGCAGACCAACCAGGTAACCAAATGTATGTCAATATCTGTGGAGGCAAACAGGCGGTTGGAATGAACGTCCATGAAAATACAATTTGATTGGAACCAGGGGCACAGCCATGGGTTCCTGGCCATTTAAGCCTGTATCATCCTTTCACCGCAGATGGCTCCTGGAAGGCAACTGACAGGAACCAAAAAATCGATGTGATGTGTTCTCACCGAGCTCCTACCTTCCCCCCCCCCCTAGAAAATGCTGCCTCCGCCGCTGAAAAGCATGACAGACCTTATTCTAAACAAACTTACCCAAAACAAGTCCACAGCAGGCTCCCCACGGTCCAACCGAGACCCAGGCACTCGGACTTAGTTCGAAGAAGCTCGCGAGGGGGAGGGTCAGGAATATGTTAACACTGCTCCCGTCAAGGCACGTTCCTTCAGATCGATGTGTGGACGGGCTACGAGGTCAGGCTACAGGACTCAGTGGGGATGGGAGGTGTTTATCATTCGTGAACCGAACATGACGCGCATAAGGCGTTATTAGCGCAAAAATGTCTTGCATTTTGATTATATCAGATGGCTTATGAGGAAAATAGTACAAGATTATAAGATATTTTCATATCAAAAATTGCATATAACACCTTATAAATTAAAAAAATATATATTTTATAATATTTTATCTATATAAATACGGAAAAATATTACAACTAACCCACAAGCGCAGTTTTAAAGTATTACCACGTGATATGTAGCTGTATACGTTAATTAAATTTTTTGGTTTTTATATCGTAGCGGGCGTTAATCCGGGAGCGTTGTTTGTGTGCTGGTGCCACGGCTGTCGTGTGCCCGTGACAAGAAAAGCGTGAGTTTGCCGCTGCCTTGCCTATCATTTTCGATACAAATTCCACCAAATTTTGCCGTTGAACTGGAATTGTGCGACCGAATGGTAGGGTTCAGGGCTCACACAACAAGCACTGCTTAGCGTGAGATTTGATCCCAGGAATCCATCCATTCAGAGGATTCGGATTTTTACAAAAATGAAACTTGCTTGTAGGACAACTACTCAGTTACCAACCTTTCATGAGTAGTTGGTTGGAAGTGTATTTATTAATTGGCACATGGTCTGTTGTTTTTTCCTCTTCACACTTTTGAGTTTGTGAGAGGGATTGGTTGAACAAGTGACAAATTATTTGAAAACAGTATGCCAATCCCCATGGTACAGTTAGAGTTAAGTCAGTTTTTAGGTGAAGCCAAGGATGTAAATACTGTAATTAAAAAGACACTCTTTCATGAACTTGCCCTAGAACTGATCTAGACCTGTGCAGATCAATCTGTAGCTGATGGATACCATATATCATATTGTAATCTGACCTGTCATGTGTTTCTTGCTTTCAAGAGAATGTTTTGCATTTTGCAACACACCCTGGGAGGAGATGAGGCAGCAGGTGGCAGGGCCAGATTAAAAATGCTTTGTGGGTGTGGAGTACTTCTGTTGTGGGCTCTAAAATACTGAAAGTTATCCTGATTTTCAAAAGCCGGTTGAACTTCACTTTCTTGTACTGTGCAGGGCACTTTTAAACAAACATGTCCTGGTGAGAGGTGCTTAGATGGCATTCAAAGCTCATAGCCATGTATTTTTTCTAAACATGGGCTATCTAGGGAACAGTACCCAGTGAACCCCCTTGAATATACCTTGTCAAGTGATACTGCACTATAACATAACTCAGATCAGGACCATATATCATCACAGTCAAGCAGCCCAAGGAAGATTGGTACCTCCAGAAGGTGAGGGGGCTCCAGGTACAGACACATGACAGGGCTGGCTTAGAGGGCCTGGGCCTCTTTGACACCCATGATGGGCACCCTTTTATACCATGAAGATGCATCTGCTGCATGCAATTAAAATGAAAAAGACATAAGTAGAGCAGCACAGCTTAACCCAGGCAACCAGGTGATGTGGGCAAAACCTGTACTCTAGGCCAGTTGAAACACAAGGCATATCAGCTCCAAACCCACATAATTACCATACTATCCATCTATAGGGCTTCAAGCCTAGATGAAGGGGCAGCCAGATGTCAAGCAGAATGTTCACCAGGTTTAGCAGGGGACACTCAAATATCTGGAGGACTGTCCCAAGCTGAAGGGTTGAGGCTCAACCTCAAGGCTAAAGGTAGATGGCAGGCTGCAATCAAATGGCCAAGCACAGGTACACCCCATGTTTAAGTAAAAAGGCGCCTCTAATTTCATGTGAAGCAAAGCCTATTGATGGATGTAGCTGAGCGCAGCAAACTGAGATGGAGAGACTTGCCAAGCCTCCAGCCTCGTAGAAGCCCGAGCCAAGTGGCAGGTGCTGCAAACCCTAGCAGAGAGCCAGAGAGTTTGGGTCCAGGTGTAAAGGCCCAGGTGTGCCCCTAAACATGGGTAGAGGAGAACTTTTACTTTTCCTTCAAAGCCCACTTACAAAAAGAAGCATGTCCCACTGTCCCAGGTGGTGAATGCCAGACAAACATGGGCAGGGAGGTGCCCAGGCTTGTGTGAGAATGTGCCCAGGCCGTAGCAGGTGGATGCTCAAAAGGTTGAGAAGATGGTTAAGAAGATAGAGAAGTCACACAGAGTCTGGTTGGTCCCTCCCTGGGTGTGAATTTGCTTGCTGAATTTGCTCTCACATCACATCACAGTTTTTTCTTAGAACATTTGTTATGCCCTACTTATGATGCAAACAATCAAACAACTGAATGATGCATGCAACCAAAGCCATAGTTATGCATGCACTACATGCATTTCAGAGGTTTCAGTTTTTTGCACCCTTGCAGGGAAGTCTTGGTCGCACGTTTGCCCCCCAGGTGGCACTCGTGCACGCACAGTGGCTCTTCTGATTCCTCTGGCCCCGTGAACCGGAGGACTGCTCCAGAGATTTGGAGCAAGATGGTGCCTTTGGGAAATGCCACAGGAGCGGGAGCGCTAGGTGTATTTAAAGGCAGACCATGCCCCTGAGCCGACACCGCAAGCCTTGGTTGTCACAGCGGTAATCCCGTGGCAGGGCGATCACTCCCCAGCTACTGCCATCTCCTGGCTGGGAGCCGGTCTGTGAAAAGCCTCCCAAAGGCAGGCTTTAACCGAGACCTCCCACCCACGCTGGCATGCACATGAACCAACCGAAACGGTTAAAAACATCACATGTCACACGAACACGTCACAGCTTAATCACGGTCTGATCTGATCTGATCTGAATCACGGTCTGAAATCACTTGAAGTGTTGACTTTCAACATGAAATTCTGCTGTACTGCTGGCTGTGATGTTTTCCTGAGCCAGTTGTGTGACATTTCCTTCATGCTTTCATACCTTAATTCCACCTGTTTGTTGACTTTGCGTTCGGTATATGTATGTGTGTGTGTTTGATACCTTTACTCCCATGCGCGTCTCCCTCCGCACGTCACGGGTCATTAGTATGTCCATGAGTGCTTCAGCCTTTCCTCGGGGCAGACATACGATGCAAAATAGATACAATAGCAAACAAATAGATGAGGAAACCCAGATGCCAAGTGTAGGGTCTTATCAAACACAAGTACAGAGGCGCTGCAATGTGGCGAGCGGTGCCCAGCTCAAGGGCAGACCGAACATGAGCAGGAACAGGGCTCCAAAGATAAATGCACAAAAGCAAGGTTAAACGAAGTCCCAAGCCGGTTTTATCGGAAGTCCGGGTCGGGGTGATGTCCAACGGTGATCATGTTCCAGATGTCCGCGGAGGGGATGCGTGTGGCTGCTGAAGATCTGGCATCTGAACTTGTGCTCAATATTAAAGAAGAGTCTGAAAAGTGCCGAGGCGCGACGAATCCATGTTTTTGCTGTTCCTCCGTGGTGGAGGATCCTGCTAATGTCGTTTCTGAACTGATCTTGGATGGGTCAGGCGATGCCATGCTTGATGTCCTCAAGGTGAGAGCATATCATTTGTGGATGGCTAATGCATGTTCTTACTGTGCTGTTGGCTTTTTGGTACATGACCAACCATGATCAGATAGTTGTGTTCACCAATAATCCTGTTCCGCTGTCTCATAGCGGTGTAATCGCGGAGAGTCACTGTGGGCCTCTAAATTAATGAAAACTATCTTTGTGAGCATGAGGATCTACTTCAGTCAAAAATCGTGTGACTTGGAGGCGAAATTTAGTCCATTAATTGGCTGGAATCCTTGGTAAGTCCACTTGCATTTAGTCCACTTTTGGTAAGTCCACTTGTACATAGGTACCAGCGAGCATTTCATTTATTTAAGTTTCTGTGTCCAGGGAGTGCATCGCAAGCCTTGTTGCTGACTTAGTATCCAAATGGCTGTTGTGCACGCGTGTAAAGACGCCATTAGAACAGCACTTTCCCAACTGGTGTCACCGGAATAGGCCCGGCCGAAATCCGGCGTGGCATTGCGCCACTTGTCGGGTGTTGGGGTCAGCGTTGACTCGCGATTGCGCCCTGCCGCCTGACATTGGAGTGATAATCGGCGAGTGCGCGCAGTCCAGACATGCTGACTACGCAGTCTGGCATGCGCACTTATGCCAGACATACGGACATCTACGCAGTCTGACATGCGCACGTATGCCATGACATGACATATGTACATCTACGCAGTTCAGACACGCAGACTGCGTTGTCTGGCATGCGTACGTCCGCGGCCTTCGTGCACTAGTTGTTAGGCGTTCTTGCTGTTCACACACTAGTTGTTCACTTCTGACGGCATATGTCATGCATTATGTGGATATTAATATTTGCTTGCTGTGTCTTTACTGCTCATGTGTCCATGCATCCCAAACAGAAGATAAAGTTCGTGGAGCAACGCCCCCTCCCCCGCCCGTCCCACCCCTGTCCCACCATCTGTGGTGCTGGCCAGGACCTGCTGGGGATATCGGAGGTGCGGGAAGCAGCTCGCCTCTGCCGCACGTGCGTCAGCAAGCTGTACAGCTACTGTCAGATGTCCTCAGCCGTCTCTCAGATGCGGCGTGACATGCGGATCGTCTTCGCCAAGGCGTCGGCCGCTTTTGCAAAGGTAGTGTGCTCTCTGCATTGGCTGATGTATCTGCTGACGTGACGTGGATTACGGCTCGGTTGAGTCATGCCGATGTGCAGGACCGATACCTCTGCTGGCAAAGGCACATGTCCGCAATGATCTTTAAATGCTGTATAGGATGCTTGACGTAAAGTGTGCAACCTTTTTGCACACCTTCTCTCTCTCCTAACGCTCTCGCCCATTCATTTACGCGTTCTTGGACGTCGTGTCAGCTCATAAGCACTTAGCATTATGCATACAATTAGCAGTCGTAAGGTTAAATTATCTGGCAAACAGTCATCCCAATGTGACGAGAACACCCCATTGTCAGCAAGACCGAAGATCACGTTTAAAAGCGGATGTCACATTATGGGGAATATCCCCGGAAAAACAAGAGCTGGCTTTAAATCGCCCGTGTCGCGTTACCTGACATGCATGGACGGAGCCGCGTTCTCTAACCTCTCACTGTTTGCGACCAGACGCGGGCGGAGGAGGCGCTCCGCCAGCCGGGTGGCTCTCCGCCGCCGGCCGGGGAGGACTCCCCGCCTCCCCGGCGGGAGGAGCCGGCGCCGCGGGAGGCGGCTCGTCCCGAGCTGAACATCAGTATTCGGGTAGTGGAGGAGCAAACAGCGGCGTCCAGCCCGTCGGTGGGTCCGCCCGCCTGCCCCGATCGTGGCGGCTTCGGAAAATGACACCCAACTTGGACTAACGCTCCACGGTCTTTTTCATATTTTGTGTTAATATTTTGCGCTCGAATGTATGGAGTTCCTGCATTCGAACGATTCTGGAAAGCCCTGTCATTTACATACGCCGTGGTCTTGAATGTTCCAATTCCGAAATTTTATCGGGCGTAGGGAGGCTGAAGTTCTCCGTCCATTACTGCGTCCGAGCCTGCGTGGGGTTGTAAAACATTCCTTCTGCCGTGTGTGCTGTTTGAACGACCGCTTGGCTGCGCCCCCCCCCCCCCCTCCCCCACACAAAAACAACACACACGCATACACTGGTTCGGTCAAGCTGTGTACGTGTCTTCGGGTCCTGAGTCTCGCGGTGTTGACGGCGGCCAGCGGCTCCCATTGGGGTTCAGGGTCGCGCCTGTCCTCCCGCTCCGCTGGTGTCCTCTGAGGGTGAGCTCATCTATTCGGTCAGCGCTGAGCCCCCCCCCCCCCCCCCCCTCCTCCGCACACCATCTTGGTGAAACGTCCTCTCGGGGGAGGAGCCTCACCACTGGCTGGACAGTTCCCCGTAGTTTGTCCGGCACCGACTGGTAAGCCAAGGATAATCCTTCCTCGCACCTCCCCTGCATCGTTAAAATACACCGTTTTCGCGAGGGACGAATCCCCTCAGGAGGTATCCAGTCGCGATCCACCTATTCACCACTTCCATGGTCCTCCTGCCGTGGCACCATCCGTGACCGTTCTCTCCAGCCGTGACGATCGCCGTGGTCGTCGTTCCCGCCGTGACGCCGACCGTCTCGTCGTGATCTCGTCGTGATCGTCCTCCTCGTCGTGACGCCGTCTGCGACCGTCCTCGTCCGCCGTGACATGGGCCGTGACCGCCTTCCCCCGCCGTGACACGGGCCGTGACCTTCCTCCCCCGCCGTGACACGGGCCGTGATCGTCCTCCTCGTCGTGACGCCGACCGTGATCGTCCTCCTCGCCGTGACACCGTCTGTGACCGTCCTCGTCCGCCGTGACACGGGCCGTGACCGCCTTCCCCCGCCGTGATATGGGCCGTGACCTTCCTCCCCCGCCGTGACACGGGCCGTGACCGTCTTCCCCCGCCGTGACACGGGCCGTGACCTTCCTCCCCCGCCGTGACACGGGCCGTGACAGTCTTCCCCCGCCGTGACACGGGCCGTGACCTTCCTCCCCGCCGTGACACGGGCCGTGACAGTCTTCCCCCGCCGTGACACGGGCCGTGACCTTCCTCCCCCGCCGTGACACGGGCCGTGACCGTCTTCCCCCGCCGTGACACGGGCCGTGACAGTCTTCCCCCGCCGTGACACGGGCCGTGACCTTCCTCCCCCGCCGTGACACGGGCCGTGACCGTCTTCCCCCGCCGTGACACGGGCCGTGACCTTCCTCCCTCGCCGTGACACGGGCCGTGACCTTCCTCCCCCGCCGTGACACGGGCCGTGACAGTCTTCCCCCGCCGTGACACGGGCCGTGACCGTCTTCCCCCGCCGTGACATGGGCCGTAACCGTCTTCCCCCGCCGTGACCGTCTTCCCCCGCCGTGACACGGGCCGTGACCGTCTTCCCCCGCCGTGACATGGGCCGTAACCGTCTTCCCCCGCCGTGACACGGGCCGTGACCGTCTTCCCCCGCCGTGACACGGGCCGTGACCTTCCTCCCCCGCCGTGACACGGGCCGTGACCGTCTTCCCCCGCCGTGACACGGGCCGTGACCGGCTTCCCCCGCCGTGACACGGGCCGTGACCGGCTTCCCCCGCCGTGACACGGGCCGTGACCGGCTTCCTCTGCCCGTCGCCAGCCGGGCGTAGAGCCTGTGCGGCCGTTCTTCTGCGCCGAGGCCGGCTGCGGCCAGACGTTCGGCAGCGCGCGGCGACTGCAGGAGCACCGGTACCAGCGGCACCGGCCGGTCGGCCTGTCCTGCCCCCAGTGCCCCCTGGTGGCCGAGTCAGAGCACGAGCTGCATAGTCATGTGGAGGTGGGCGCGTAGTCGGGCAGCAGGCGACTCTTCCCCGGCGTGCTATGTCTGCTGACGGAGACTCGGCAGCGTCTCGCGACAAGCTGTGATCGTTTTATTATTTTGTCATCACAAGCTGCAATGCAACGCTCGCACCGATCGCCTCGGGAGGGGGGGGGGGGGGGGGGCGGAGCGGAGCTCTAGCATCCACTGGGTAAGCACCCGGCGGAGTGTGTATGCCAATATATGGACCAGGCCCCGCTCCACTAATGTGCAGGTGCGTGTTTGCTCGTGAGCGAGCGGGGCGTGCCTCTGACGCCATCCGACCACCGCTGGCCTCTTAGGCATAGCCCAGCTCGTTTATTAAGCTTCAGTCACGCGGTAAATGTGGCGAATCTGGTCAATAGTACAAGCGATGTTTCGTTAAAGCAACAAATTAAAATAATGGTAGAGAAGTGGGCACTACGCGGGTGAACCCTCGGGGCTCCTCTGGTGTGTGACCAGAAGGCGGGGTGGCTCGGGACGCACCTAACTACCAAAGCTCGCCGGGTGCTTTTCAATGGACATATTGAAAGCTCCTGGCGCTCACTACCAGGGCACGGGTCTCGTCCTGCGACGCCTAGGCCCGCCTAAACAGCGTGGCCCTGACCCGGGGGAGGGGCACGGGGGGGGGGGGGGGGGGGGGGCGCGGAGTGACGGTGACGGCTCCGTGGTGGCGTCGCCAGTCGGTGCACCGGACGGGCGAGGCCCTGTATGGCTGTGACGAGTGTCAGGAGCGCTTCTACCTGGAGGCCGAGCTTAAGAGGCACCGGCGCACGCTCCACGACGCCAAGCGGTACATCAAGTGCAAACACTGCCGCAAGGTGTTCAGGTGAGCGGAAGGGGCGCCGACGACCACGGACTGGCTTTCTGTGGGATGGCGGTGAGTCTCGCTGTAAGTTACGCGTGACGACCGTAGCACGACATTTTTGCGTGTAGAAATGCTCACACTCTGTTACAGCTGTCACGCTTGACCTTGGTTTGTGGACGTGAATGAATGAACCGTGGAAATGAAACAGCAGTGATCTACCTCCATCTCCAGTCATTTTATTGCTTGAGCCGTCCATTTAGTACAAGTGGAGGAATAACTACGTGCGTTATGTTATTGTTTCGGCCGGCTTTTACCCCGTTTCATTCCAACAATCAGAGTAGCATCTTTGCGCCGGTTAAAACGTAGTTAAAAGCGATTGTGTCGCTCAAGACATCGGGCCTGCCCGTACGCAGCACCGTTCGGCGGCGAGCCCTGTCGTCCCTGCTGGGCGTTTAGAGCGTGCGTGACCCGGCGCTCGCTGGCCGCAGGTCGCGCCTCTCGTACCTGGAGCACCAGGCCCAGCACAGCGGCCAGCGACTGCTGGAGTGTCCGGTCTGCAGCGAGACCTTCAGCCGGCGCGTCTGCTTGGCCGTCCACATGAAGGTGTGCATGATGGTCGTCAGGGTCTGACGGGATGCGGTCAAGGGCTGACTCTCTGGTGGGGTGTGCGCGTCCGAGGACAGGGCAGGAGAGTGACGAGGGCGCTCCTCAGGTCAGCCGCGCTGCAGCTGCCGGCTGTCCTCAGCCGGCATGTCCAATGGGCCCATCGATGACAGCGGTCTTTTTTACTATGGTGACCTGCGTCCATTGGTGGTGACCTGTAGGACCTGCGCTTGGCGATGGTGACCTGTAGTGGCCTGCCTGATTGTCGGTCGTGACCCGCAGTGACCTCTGGCCCGTCTCTGGCGCAGGTGCACCGGAAGCACGGCGGTGTGCAGACGTGTGACCTCTGTCAGGAGAGTCGTGACCCGCAGTGACCTCTGGCCCGTCTCTGGCGCAGGTGCACCGGAAGCACGGCGGTGTGCAGACGTGTGACCTCTGTCAGGAGAGTCGTGACCCGCAGTGACCTCTGGCCCGTCTCTGGCGCAGGTGCACCGGAAGCACGGCGGTGTGCAGACGTGTGACCTCTGTCAGGAGAAGTTCTCGACTGTGGGCCGGCTGCGCACACACCAGCAGCGCCAGCACGGCATCGAGCAGCCCTGGCGGTGAGTGAGCCGTCGGGCGCGCGGCTTCGCTCCCAGTCGCCACCGGCCGCGTGCACTTGACCCTCCGTCGTGACCCTTGGGACATCGTGGGACCCTGGAGACTTGTGAGACCCTGAAGACCCGTGAGGGACAGATCCCAGCGTCCCAAGACCCAGCGAGGAGGCCTGTCCACGGGGCCCTTTTCCGGACCCGTAGGATCCTTGGAACACTTTGGGGACAGACACTTACGAGCGCCATGTGACCTTTGTAGTCGGTGCGCCCCAAAGCCCAAATGATCGTCATCGGGAACGGACACTGGTCGCCCTCTCAGCTCTGGATGTTGCCCTGTAGTCCGCGTACCTCATACCCGTCTGTCTGCGGCAGCCCGACAGATGGCGGCCCGACCATGGGGCGCGGGTTTACGGCGCCCCACGTCGTGCCTTGGTTGGCTGCGAACTGATGGTGGTGCGGTGGTGCCATCGTGCCGGCGGCCCGCTGGTCGCTCGGAGGCGGCGCGCGCGCCTGCCGTCGCCGTCGTGCCGGCGGCCCGCTGGTCGCTCGGAGGCGGCGCGCGCGCCTGCCGTCGCCGTCGTGCCGGCGGCCCGCTGGTCGCTCGGAGGCGGCGCGCGCGCCTGCCGTCGCCGTCGTGCCGGCGGCCCGCTGGTCGCTCGGAGGCGGCGCGCGCGCCTGCCGTCGCCGTCGTGCCGGCGGCCCGCTGGTCGCTCGGAGGCGGCGCGCGCGCCTGCCGTCGCCGTCGTGCCGGCGGCCCGCTGGTCGCTCGGAGGCGGCGCGCGCGCCTGCCGTCGCCGTCGTGCCGGCGGCCCGCTGGTCGCTCGGAGGCGGCGCGCGCGCCTGCCGTCGCCGTCGTGCCGGCGGCCCGCTGGTCGCTCGGAGGCGGCGCGCGCGCCTGCCGTCTCGACGTGACCAGGCGTACCCGCACGGCGCCGAGCTCGCAGTCGGCTGGAGCTGAGCTGATGGAGAGCTGATGGAAAGCTGATGGAGCTGACTCGTTCCCCGGCACCTGCCCGCCGTCAGTCAGGCGTGACTTACGGTGGTGGGACGCACAGGGCCGCGGGCTGGTTACGAGAGTCGGTGATGTTGACGAGCGTCGTTCGTTGCCGGGTGGGCGTTCGAGCTCCCCGAGTCCTGTCATGTCGCCCTGCCGCCAGGTGCGAGTACGAGGGCTGCGAGAGGGCCTTCCGCTCGTGCGCCTCTCTGGAGGTGCACGTCGTCAACCACACGGGTAATCGGCAGTTCTGCTGCGACGTGTGCCAGAAGCGCTTCAGCACCAAACATCGGCTGGCCTCCCACTACCGGCGAGTATGCCTGACGGCGGGCCGGCCGACCGGGCGGGACGGGCGGAGGTAGGGGAGGTGGTGTGTCGATGGCTGGAGCGGGTCGGATCAGCCCCCCCCCCCCCCCCAGCGAGTGGTAGCCGGGGGTAGCTAGTAGCCAGCTGGGCTCCGGAGGGGCCTATCCTCCCCCCCCCCTCCCCCCCCCGAGGCAGTGCACAACACCCGTCTGTCACTACGCTGGGGACAAAGACGTGAAAAGGAGTGGCTCGTGGGCGTTTGGAGGAGCTTGCTGTCACTTCGTCAAAGCTGTAGATGGCGGTTAGTCGAGATCTTTCGCTGGCGCGTGCCAGTGTGGCCAGCCTCGCCGGCAGACCTGCCCGGAATGGCAGGCGGGGGGGGGGGGGGGAGGGGATTTCTCTGTGACCCGTCGCACAGCTCACCCGCGCGCCTGGCGGGTGGCGACGGTACAGCTTGGGCGAGCCAGCACTGCGGCGGGCGTCTGCGCCGGTCTGCCGAGCCGGGCCAGAGACAGAGTTCTCCCCCGCCCCGCCGCCCCTTCCGGCGCCGGTGTGTCTCGTCCGTCCAGGGCGGGCGCCGCCAAACGCCACCACTGGATTGACGGGGCTTGGCCCGGATTGGCTGGCGCTGCCGGCGTCAGCACCGGCCCTGGCAACGCCAGCGAGGGGTTCGATGCTCCTCCTGGGTCTGCCTCGAAGCGGAGGAGGGCGCGTGCTCGTCATTGTGCTGTATGTGTAGTGCGGCGCCTGCGTCGTCCCAGCTGCCGCGCTGGCCTGGCGTCGTCCTGATGTGCGCTGATGAGAGCGCTGCTCGTGTGACCCAGGATCCACACGGGGGAGAGGCCGTTCCAGTGTGACCTGTGCGGACGACAGTTCACCCACAAGTCCAACTTGTACCAACATACGACCCTCGCGCACAAAACGGTAAGCTCTCGGACCATTGGGCGACGGGGAAGGGAGACGACGCTGGGTCGGGTGGTCAAAACACGCGCTGTTTGTTTTTGTGGTATCGCTGAGGTGCTGCAGAAATTCTGCTGGACCACATTCGCTGGCGCCGCCCAGCTGCTACAGCTACTCGCCCTTGTTTAATCCACTCGGTCTTTGAATAGGGAGCCACCATGACTCTCCCTTAATTACACCATCGTGACAGTCTTGCAGACAGCAGTTAACCCACGATGGTTTAAGCGTTAATAACCCATGACGGGTTGTTTTTCTCACAGGACACCCACCGCCCTCAGTTTTCTTTACAGGTGACGGCACATTGTATCTGTCACGTTGTGTGCACTTTGTGCCGGACATGCCGCATTTCTGAAGGGAGGACAGATGGTCACATCTGGACAGGCTGTGTCAGCTGTAGCGTGACATGCTCCCCTGACACCCGGACCTCACCTGTATCACTCGCGAGGAGCTGCCAACATGTGACGACAGTGCCAGCGGATTGTTCACGACCTGAGGTGCACGTATATGAGCATTTGCCTCCAGCTCGGACCACCACGGCCGCCGTCGGGGACGGCGTCTGGTGATAGCCGCCTCCATCCTCGCGCCCCGACCTGTCCCCCGACCTGACTCCAGATCTGGCCCAGGATCTGACCCCAGATCAGACCCCTGAACTGACCCCTGACCTATCCGACCCCTGGCCTCACTACTGACCGGATCCCGTATCTGACGCCTTGCCTCAACCCTGATCTGACCCCTGATCTGACCCATGATCTGACCCCTAACCTGACCCCTGACCTGGCCCCTGATCTGACCCCCTACCTGCCCCCCACGGCCGCCAGGAGCGGAACCACAAGTGTGTCGACTGTGGCAAGGCGTTCCGGCGCGCGCGCGAGCTGGAGACACACCGGGCGTCGGCGCACGCGGCGTCGGAGGGCGAGCGGCCGGCCGGCGCGCCGCGCTCGGTCGCCGCCTCCCCGGCCTCCGGCAAGCAGTACAAGTGCGCCATCTGCCAGCGCGGATTCCTCCGGCTGGACAACCTCAGGTGAGCGGCTCAGCTGGGCTGAGCAGCCCCGGCGGGGGCCGGGCGGAGCGGGACAACCTCAGGTGAGAGGCTCAGGTGGGCTGAGCAGCCCCGGCGGGGGCCGGGCGGAGCGGGACAACCCCAGGTGAGAGGCTCAGATGGGCTGAGCAGCCCCGGCGGGGGCCGAGCGGAGCGGGGCAACCTCAGGTGAGAGGCTCAGATGGGCTGAGCAGCCCCGGCGGGGGCCGAGCGGAGCGGGACAACCTCAGGTGAGCGGCTCAGGTGGGCTGAGCAGCCCCGGCGGGGGCCGAGCGGAGCGGGACAACCTCAGGTGAGCGGCTCAGGTGGGCTGAGCAGCCCCGGCGGGGGCCGAGCGGAGCGGGACAACCTCAGGTGAGAGGCTCAGGTGCGGCCGACCAGCCCCGGCGGGGGCCGGGCGGTGCGGGACGGCCGCGAGTGAGAGGCTCAGGTGCGGCCGAACAGCCCCGGCGGGGGCCGGGCGGGGCGGGACGGCCGCGGGCTGTCTGATTCGGGCTGGGTAAGGGCAGGTGAGGTCTGGCTGATGCCGGACAGCTTCAGGCGATACTTATCGCGGTCTGAACGAGCTCCGGGGCGTTCAGACTCGAAACTGGACAAACTCACGTGTGGTTTGACTTGAGCTGGATGACCTATTCTTTTTTCGCTGGGCGCCATCGCACTACGAAGTGTGCCACATGAGGGCCCGATCAGCCGGCTCAGCGACCAGGAAAGTGGGACACCATTGGGCAGTTGCTGTCCAGCATGGAGATGATCGATGTTACCCACACAGGACAGCATAAAACGGATTGGACCACGCTGTAAGACGTCTTGCTATCCTACACGTTCTGGCTCACCTAAGATGCTTGTTCCCCACTTGGAACCAATCAAGTACCTCCTGTCCACATCATTGCTCCCCTGTTCTGTCCTCACCGTTCCTATTCTTCCCATATACCACTGCCTCGCTAGGCTTTACTCGTTCACCCAGCGCGCGGCGACCATCCGAACCCCCTGCCGCCACCGTACCGTCCACGCCACTTCACCGGCCGCCAGCCTGACGCGGCGCTCGCCTGAGTCGGCCGTCCTCCCGCAGGACGCATATGTTCATCCACTCGAAGAAGAAGCCGTTTGAGTGCCGACTGTGCGGCTTGGGCTTCCTGCGTCGGCCGCCGCTGCTGCAGCACATGCAGGTTACCGGGCACGGCGACCACCGCAACGACTACGTCATCAACGAGGTGAGGCGGCGCGGGGGGGGGGGGGGGGCTGGCCGGATCAGGCGCGTGTTGCGCTGCGAGCGGCCAGCTACCGGGCAGGTGGGAGGTCTGGGAGCCTGCGGTGGTTGCGACAGAGGCTGAGATGTCAAAGGGATGTATAGCGTACGTGTGGTTTCTTGATTTTAAAACAGGAGTCAAGACTGGGGTAGTTTGTCCTTCCGCCCCAACCACAGTCGTATCTCTGTCCGCCGGTGTGACTGTGTCTCCCTGCCGGCGTGACTGTGTCTCCCCGCCGGCGTGACTGTGTCTCCCCGCCGGCGTGACTGTGTCTCCCCGCCGGTGTGATTGTGTCTCCCCGCCGGCGTGACTGTGTCTCCCCGCCGGCGTGATTGTGTCTCCCCGCCGGCGTGACTGTGTCTCCCCACCGGCGTGACCGTGTCTCCCCGCCGGTGTGATTGTGTCTCCCCGCCGGCGTGATTGTGTCTCCCCGCCGGTGTGATTGTGTCTCCCCGCCGGCGTGACTGTGTCTCCCCGCCGGCGTGATTGTGTCTCCCCGCCGGCGTGACTGTGTCTCCCCGCCGGCGTGACCGTGTCTCCCCGCCGGTGTGATTGTGTCTCCCCGCCGGTGTGATTGTGTCTCCCCGCCGGCGTGACTGTGTCTCCCCGCCGGCGTGATTGTGTCTCCCCGCTGGCGTGACTGTGTCTCCCTGCCGGCGTGACCGTGTCTCCCCACCGGCGTGATCGTGTCTCCTCGCGGCCAGGCCGTGTTCGTGATGGATGCCCCGGCGGAAGAGGCCACCGGCTCAGTTCGCCTCATCGCCGCCGGTCAGCAGCAGGTGAGGGACGGCTCGTTGGACGGTCACCGGTCACCGTCGGTAGAGGGGGAGGGGGAGGGGTCCACTAGAGGTCAGGACTCGACGGGCTGAGGGGTTCGTCGCTGCACTCATCACTTGTCCTTGATCTGAAAGCATTTGCCTTTTAGTGTGTTTCGTTGAAACAGTGGATTCACCTGTAACCCAACAATGAGAAAATAGTGTTAGCAATAACAAATGCACCTTTCCGCATCTTTTGGAAGTTTTTCAATCGACGATGGGCAGAAGGTAGCCTTTGGTTTCTCACTGCCAGTTCACTGTCTGTCTTCCTCAGTTGTTCTCTGTATTGGACTCGTCCGGAGGGGGTCAGTTGGACGGCGCCAGTGGCGGCGTGACGCAGATCATCTTCAAAACGGACTCCCCTCACGCCCAGCTGGACTCGCCGGGCACTGCGCAGCCTCATCTGGCTGACGATAGATGGCAGCAACGGAACGAGCCTGTATCCCAGGGTGATCAGGGTGACGATAGGTGGCAGTAGTGGTCAAACTCACCCTTTTTTCTTTTTTTTTGTTGGCAGTGTTTTTAAGGTAAAGGTGGGTTTACCTGGCGGGACTTTCTCTTTTGGTTGGGAGGAGAGCAATATTTTGTGAGCATTGTTGGCAGTAGCAGTGTTATACATTGCGAAGATGAGTGAATGGCATCAATGTTGCAGTGTCGGTTTTGTCAACTGTGTGCTTATCTCAGCGTGTTTATAACGTCGCCTGTTCACAGTTTGGATAAAGTTACGGTCGACGGGCTTAGCCATTTTTTTAACGAAATCTCGCGGAACCATGTATCTAGCGATGTTTAGCCCACTCATCACTTGTATTGCTGTGTGTGTGTGTGTGTGTGTCAATACACCAAAATGTGCGTGATCTATAGTGCATGCATTTTGTCTGATTTCTGGACTTCTCGCGAAGTACACACTCAGCACAGGTGGACGTTTCTCGCTCGTAGTGCAACGCTCTGCATCGTGAGATTCGTAGCAGTTTGAGCACCGGCCTGGCTGGTACATGCCGATACACATGCAGTTCGGCATGGGAGAGCTGTCTGGGACGGGACTGCGGAGCGCAGTGCGAGTCGTGAGGTAGCTGACTCTCCACTCGGCTGGGTGGCGTAATGTCAGTCGGCGCGGCCGGAGAGTGGCGTGGGACAAGTGGGAACCATGTAACCGCGCATGGACGGCTCTGCCGGCGGAAAACCGTCGTAAGACCGGCGCGCGCCGTGTGGCTGGCTGCCTGAGGTGGGGGGGGGGGGGGGGGGGGGGGGGGGGGCGAGGCGCTTGTCCACGGTGTGTGTTGTGTGCGTTTGGGACGCCACCGCTGTCAGACCCATGCTTCGCCACGTCGGGGGCACGGCGAACTGGCCAGGTCACTTGCCGAAGGCGCGTCGGCGAACGCCCTTAGTCCCCGGACCGGAGGTGCAGACCCGACGTCTGTCCGTGGTCGTGATCTCATCAGGGTCGCTCGTTGCTTATTCACGACTAGCGTGCCGACGGTCCGTGGCAGTGAACGCGGCGGGCTGGGCGAGGCGCAGGCATTGACACCGTGACCTGCCGCCAGTCTTCACGATGGCCGCGACGAGAAAAATGCTGCAGGTTATGGTCGGCAGTTTCCAGTATTTGCTGTCGGATGGACCTTACGGAATTTTGGCCAAACGTTTGGCGGTTCTCAAAGTCTGGTGTTCAGTCCTTCGCCTAGTTTTGGTGGATCCTGGGCATGTCGTGTCTTCACGCGTGCCCTCAGCCATAAGTTATCCTTCCGAACGCACAAATCCCAAAAGCAAAACAATCGTTTAATGCGTAGAGCGTACCGTTGAGGAAAAAGGGGTAGACTGCAGGAAAGGGACTATTCTGTCTGTGTTGCTAGAATGGAAGTACACCGCACGTTTCAGATGTAGTATCCTGTGATTTAACCGGCATTTCTGCCAAACGGGGTTTCAGTATTGCCGGTTACACAGGCCCGTCCCGTGACTCGGTTCGAGCGCCTGCTTTCTTCCGATCCACCCACCCTCAGCGGGGATGGGTGCGAGTCGGTTTCGGTGCTCGCTATTTGCCCTCGATAAGTGTGACGTGTTGCCGGTGGCAGCAGGCGCGCTAAAGGTCAGGTGACGTCAGAGGGCAGGACAAACTGCCGAGCAGTGCGGCACGTTTAATTCTCGTCATCACATTATGCCGCTGACCTGGAATCGCACGATCGAATGGCAGAGGTCAGGGCTCACATCATAAGCGTTGCACCTCTGATTCTAAAAGCCCATCATTTCAAAAAGTGTAGATGGAATCCTTTTGAAAACTGCTCCCAGCCGGCCAGCGTCACGGCTCACAGCTCTGTCCCGCGCGCTTCTCACTGAGTGGTCGCGGATCACTGTCCATATGAAATTCATCAATGCAGAGTCGGCCAGGGCACACTACATCGCCGCATTGTCCACACAGTGGTGTGAGCTCCCATAGAGAGTAGGCCCGCCCGAACATCCGGACTGCCCCGTAAACGAGAGCAGATCTCCCCGTCGACCCGGTCCGCGCGGCCGGCCGAGCGCTGGCCTCTTATTCAGAGGGTCCTCAGACCCGTGACGGGCCGACTCCGCGCGACGGAGCGAGCTCGTCCTGCCGCTGTCCCGTGGCGGAGGAGCCTCCGGCGACCGGCCCGCCAGCGGGAGGCGCCCGAGGAACCACTTGTCACTTCGCTCACCTGCGGCCGGTGCGCGCGCCCGGCGGCCGCGAGTCGGCGCCAAAAATACCCGCGCGCGCGCCGTGCCGGCCGCAGTCCCTGCTCCGGCGCCGGGCGAGCGGACCACGTGCACACGCCGCGCCCGTCGCCGCCGGCTCGCACGCGCGCGCGCTCCCAGCCGCACGTCCGGCGTGGACTCGGTGGACGACGGCGTGGACCGGAGTGGACGTCGGGTGGACGGCGCTGGACTGCGGCGGCGATGCGCGCGGGCGGTGCGGCGCCGCCGCCGGCCGTCGGCCCCCGCCGGCGCCTCTGAGCGCCGGACGGCCACGTCCGGCAGAGGTCACTGACCAGGGCCAGGTCCGGCCGTCGCGGCCGGCAGCTGCTTAGACTGGGGACGCCGGGAGCGAAATGCGGGGTCACGATGCCGATTGGTGCCGTAGATGAGGCCGTCGCCCGACCACGAAGCCAGGTGCACTGCAAACATTGCCAAGGTAGGTCCGACGGTGGCGGCCGGGGTGCGTGGCCGGGTCACGCCCGGGGTGTGACGGAAGTGCGTGTCTCAGCAGCGGGGGTGACAGTGCTGACAGAGGCTGGTGGATGAGCTGCCACAGCAGGTCTGGCGTTGGTGATGGCGCCGCACAGGATCTTGTTGGTTATCAGGTGACTTTGAGGCTCGCAGGGTTTTCGTTATGCTTTGCTTTGCGCTGTTCGAAATATTTGCAACCAGTTCAACACACGAGCCTGTGTGTGGATGAAGGGGGATCATGATTTGAAACATGCATGGTAAGTGGAAAACCCGTAGGATCGTGTGCAGGCGAACAAATGTTTCGTACCAGGTCGTGTCGTGTCGTGCAGGTAATGTTGTGAAGACACTACTTCCGCTCGCGAACACTGCTGTCTTACGGTGTGAGTCAACATTAAACATGTTCGTGACCTGGTTCAGGTGCCAGGTATCCTCGGTTGGCCAGAAGTGCGTGCGTGGATTACCTTGGGTTGGCTAAGACTGGCTGTACGGGCCGAATAGCTCGTTGGTGAAAAGGCGGGAGGGCGACCGATGTATTGAAAAGTCCTTTCAATGACATGGTTTTTTCCAAAGCTTTCGATTTTTTTGACTTCAGTTTTTGATACATCGAATTTGTATGTATGTATGTGCGCATACACTTATCGCGGCGTATATGATCGGATAATAATCTCACGAGAATTGGAGATTCGGTAGGAATTGAATTAGGATTGCGGTTTGACTAAATATCAGTCACATGTGAAACCGGAGGCCGCGTGGTGAACACATCGCGTATTAATGATAACAATCCACGCGGGATCAAAATCCTGCGGCGGCTGAAGGAGCAGGCGAGCCCGACGGGCTCAGCTGGGCTCAGTCCGCTCACCGGCCCCGCCGAGCCACAGGCATCGGCCGTCACTAGAGCTGGCCCGGCTGGCCGTGACGGAGCGACGATCCTAGTACTGTTGAGACTGCTCACAGGCTGGTGTTAATGGCAACAGCTCCCCTACGGGAGCAGCCCAGCACACGCTGATCACGAAAGAAGTAGTGAAAACGCATGCTCGGGTGCGAGAAAAGTATGATCGAATGCGAAGAATAGTGGAAACCATGTAAGTTTTAAGCGCATTTACGGGGAACATTATTCACCAAGATAAGACAGAAGCAATAGCCTCACTCCACGGAGAAAACCAGGAAAATGGAGATATAGATGTACTGATATTTCGGCAATATGCCTTTATCGAAACAACATCAGAAGTGAATCCACTGCTGCTATTGTTTCCATAAAGGCAGTTACCGAAATATCAACACATATATATCTCCATTCTGGTTTTTCTCCGAGGAACAAGGCTATTACTACTTATCGGTAGTGAAAACGCATGATCAGACGCCCCGTGCCATGATCAAGGTCGTAAGTCTAACCATTTCGCCGCCGTCATCGCAGACGTTTTGTTCGCAGTTTGACAAATATCTGTATGTAAATCGTATCTGTTACCGGCGCCCAAGCGTCTTGAAAGCAATCAGCTTCCTTATATCGAACACATTTCATTGCAAACACGACTACACGGACATTCTGCGGGCATCGATTAATTCCATGCATGCCGGATCAACTGTCTTCGAGTCATGTACTTACCTGTGTCGTAACTGACTGCAACACGTCAGCTGTCAGTCCTGCACTGCATCACTGAACAGTCCCACTGCCGCGCGTAACGTCGCTGCCGGATGCTGTGTTTGCTAAACGCCTCGAGCTCCAACTTTTCCTGAACTCTTTGGGGGGGGGGGGGGGGAACGCGCGAGCTAAGGACAGTGCTGCAGGTTGCTGAAGCTGAGGTGTGCGGTCTGATTGTAATGGGACCGTCTGGGGTTGTGCTGGCCGCTGACTGCTGACTGCTGGCTGCTGGCTGCACTGAAAATGACTGGCTGGCTGTAATATGGTGCATCTCTGAGGAGATGCGAACGAATTGAAGGGGATCTGACCAAATTGAAACAAAATGAAATCAAAAATCAAAATAAACTACACTGTAAGGAGAGATCAAAGTGCATTTGAAAGTCCGTCTTTATGTTTCATGATCATTGTTTGGTGCAGTACCTTAAGGCTGCACTGAAACAAGAATGGAACGGTGACATTGACCAAGATTATAATTGTTCGGACATCACGCACATAGAATCACGCAGTGTTGTGTCACCAAATCGTTGGATAACAAATAGTGTTCGCAACAGAACTGAGCTAATAGAGTGTAAAGAGTGCACGCAATACTACTGGGATGAAGTGTATTGTGCACGCAACAACGCCATTTCTAACTTATTGGCATTACTTTCGCACGCAGCCCACTTGAACCGCAGACGATTTTTGTATTTATCCGCGAACCATTAGCGTTAGCGTCCTGCAACTACGTGAACTTTCCTAAACGGTTTTAGGGAGCACTTTTAGAACGGATATCGACTTATTTAAACCAATGTACCTTCCGAAGTTTCTTTACCATATCCAGCTGTTGCCTTATCAAAGTGGGCTATAGCATGATTCAACCGAAGCGAGCTATTACAGTGTTTAATGGATCAGGAATGATGTCATTTAGATGATGTGTGATACATGTTAGCTGCCATGGAAGGAATCAGAGGCAATATGGCAAAGAGATCATGCGATCAGCTATTCTCGTGAATCAGACCAAATTTTTATAGAAATAATGCAACTTTACTAGCAGTTATCGTCGAAAATTCCAACAACATTATAACAACATGTAGCATACCTGTCACTGCACAAATAGCAAAAGTGCGCTTGCGGGGGCGTCGCAAGTCAGTCAGACCGAGGATAAGAGATTAGAGGAGATAAGACTGAGAGGATCTGGAGCGAGCATCTTTTTTCCCTTTTGAGCAGTATGGCTGCGGCTTCCTTCTTTACATACCGCTGGTGTCGTGCTCCTCGACGACGATAATATTCTCGAGGCGCACGTTGGTACGGATACCGACGGTGTTAGGCAACATGACCAGAAGGCAAATTCCTGATTTCACGACCCTCTCAACATCTCCAGTCGTGTACGTAGGTTTTCACTTCCCAGTCTACCCCCCACCCCCCAGCCAGCGGCAGGGCTGACTCAGTGACGTCAGAGTTGAGCCTGGTGGTGACGTCAGAGTTGAGCCTGGTGGTGACCCACCAAATTCCGCCATGATGTCAGCGATGCTTTGCCCTCACAGGTCCGTTATTGGCCAAAGAGCTCTCATGACGTCAGAGGCACACCAGGAGACCAATCCGGGGCAGACAGCTTGCTTATTTAGGTACGCCATGTGACGTCACGATGCGCACTTCCGGTGGCGGTCGGGTGACGTCACCACCCCGGCTTCTGAGCGGGCCGGCTCGTCAGACAGTGTGTCATGGTGTGCCAGCCGGTGTGTCATGGTGTGTCAGCCGGTGTGTCATGACGCCTGGCGTTCTTGGCGCTTGGCAAAGGGCCCGCCTGCCGCCCCGACAAGTCTGCTTCGGGACTTATGGGGAGAGAAAATAGCCCGAGTTTGTTTTCTGAGTCAGCGTCGCTGGGGCTTCAGAGTTAGACCGGCCGGCCAGCCCCGCTCTCCGCAAAGAGCTGCTGCATGCCGTCCGGAGTACGTTGGCATTCCAGCCGGCCGGGCTCCGCGAGAGCATCTCGTGGGGCCGGTGACGTGCGGGTGCAGGCATCCGTTTGCAGCACGCTTCCCTCACGGCTCACGGAACCGTCGTGTCTGAATCGCTCCGTTTATCTGGCGCCGTCAAACTGATGTGTTTCTCACTGTGCGAATTATGTTAGGATCTCCACATGAAGACCAGAACAAGTTTGTGACTAGTGGATCTGAAGACGCAAATACAGAGCATTTTCGAGGAGAATTTCCTGTGCCGCGTGATTTCATTTCAGTTTCGGACAGACTACAAACAACATGTTCGAGTGTTAGCTATCATTGGCTGCCATAAAGCCATGTTTAGACAAGCAACGAGACTGGCCGAACACAGCACCCGGCCCGCAGACCTGCGCCAGCGCTCTGAATGCCAGGAGTACTGCCTGTCCTTGTCTGACCTTCCCAGATGCCCGCTGACCCCTCGGCGGCTCCGCTAGAGCTCCATGGCATTTTCTCCGCCTCCTTGGGCTTGTGGCCAAAGTAAGGAAAGGCTGATGTAACGTATCACTCGGCGTGTTTGTTTTCCCAGCCGCTGTGCGAACCAAAATCTAAGTGATACGGTCAAAAACTAATGGCACCGAAACCGATCGATTGTTTTGTGCCCTGTTCAGTGTCGTGCTAACCACCACCGGAAAGTGACAGGACTGACATCATCCATAGTATTTCTGCTCTTTCGCAGGCTCAAGAATTTATTTGTTCCTCAAAATAAGCATAAATATTTTCGGTCGTTGTCTCCGTTAAGCCGTAAAAAGGGGGTGGCTTGAGTGCGTTGAATACCGGGAGCCAGAGATTGCAAATGCACGCTTTAGTCATGGTGATCATACTAACCATAGCAGATGGTCACATCATTGTTAAGATTGTTACCTGCACTGGTCCTTTCCTAGATATGGTGATTGACACAGCCGTCGTGCCTAATACTTAGCACTGCCGCCAACATATCCAGCATAAATTGCCGCTGCCTTGGAATGGGCTATCCCACAAGGCGGGGTCTTGCCTGCTGGTGCCCACCTCTACGCCCCCTGAAGAGACGCACAAGTCTGGGCATCATGACGTCCAAAAATGTTACCGTCGTCGTCCGTGCCAGACGTTGCCGTGTTATACCATTGTCTGTTTTCTTGGAGACTCCCGACCGCGGCAGTATTGCGTTTCATTGGTCCGCCGCTGGAGGCGCCATCAGCTCGCGCCACCTGTGCCCGAGTGGCGCTGGGACCAGTGACCGCTCGTTCCGTAAGGCTTGCTCGCGATAGATCTGAGTTTCGGAAGCGTCTGTGTGGCGCAAGACACAGGGTGGAAATGGAAATAATAACAGTGCGAGCATGCGCTGACAAATACAATGCAACACCTGTTTTT